AAGTTGAGGACTACCTCAACTGGCATCCCTGGTTCCACGCTGTTGTCTTTGTACTCTTATTTCTCCTTGCCGGACAAAACGTCCCAACTTATCTTTTTAGCATAAAACTGTATGTGTTAAAAACTTCTGATTTAGTTCAATGAGATTCAGATTCTTGATCTGTTGCTCCTGAGATGCAGAAAAATTCAGATGAGGGTGGGGAGAGTCTCGGGTCCCAAAGGTCCTTTTTTTTTCCCAAGAGGCAACTGGACTTTTTTTTTTTTTTTGAAGACATTTCGCTTCTCCTCCGAGAAGCTTCTTCTGCTCTGGCTGAATGGTGGGGAACGGAATTCTTCGGTCAGAAGTGGAAGAAGCTTCTCGGATGAGAAGCGAAACCTCTTCAAAGAAAAAAACCAGAAAGTCTAGTTGCCTCTTTGGGGGAAAAAAAACCCAAGACATTTGGGCATATTCTTCTGCTTGGTCCACATCTATGAGACGACCCCCCCATGGGTGGTGGTTGCCCAGTTGAGTTTCTAGCTGGTGATCTTTGTTAAGGGCTTACAGAAGAGATGACCTCACTCCAAACAGACTTGGCCTCCCAAGAGCAGGTTAAAATTAGCTCCTGCAAGTCACACGTTTGGAACTAAATATGGATTTCAGTCCTTCCCAATTTGGCAATGCTCTTTTGTGCCTCGGGATATGTGAAAGCCCGGCCGATGGCTGGATAGGAAAAAGCGCCCAGCTCAAGCCCATCGTTCTTGAGAAAGGGACTCCAGAGCCATCTTCCAGCTGGGGGCGGAGAACAGCTCCGAGAAATCTAGAATAAAATCTAATTATGAGCTGTCTCCGGCCAACCCCTTCCCAGAATCACACAAGTAGGCCAAACACTGAGAGCAATCGGCCGAAAAAACAGACAAACTCATCTCTGGGTTTTTTATTTTCAGATAAGATTTAGAATTTGAGGAAAAAAATAAAATGATCAAAGAAACCCTTTTCAAATCTATCATGTTCTCCTTTAGCTTCTTCCCGTATTAAAGACCTGAAGGTTACAGAGAAAATTAAAAAGAAAAAAAACATGAATAGAATTCTTTTATTGGCCAAGTGTGATTGGACGCACAAGGAATTTGTCTTGGTGCAGATGCTCTCAGGGTACATGAAAGAAAAGACACATTCATCAAGAATCATCGGGTACAACACTTAATAATAGTCGTAGGGTACAATAGAATAGAATAGAAGGATACAGTAATAGAATTTAAATGGAATGGAATAGAATAGAACAGAATAGAAATAGAAATAAGGGATGAAGAATAGAACAGAACAGAATAGAATAGAGGGATGAAGAACAGAACAGAATATAGAATAGGGTAGGATAGGATAGGATAGGATAGGATTCTTTATTGGCCAAGTGTGATTGGACACACAAGGAATTTGATTGGACTTTTTTGGTGGCCATCTTGACTTTTCTGACCACACGCTTCAGACAACTCTGGTTGGTCGCTATTTTGTCCTTGGCTCTTCCCATCTGGAGTGCTGACCACTGCATTCCCATATGCAACAGAGAAGAGCGTGGAATTCTTCTGGGACCTTTGTATACAGGTAGTCCTCATCTTAAGACCACAAAATGGAGCTGAAAAATTTCCATTGCTAAGTGAGACAGTTGTTAAGTGAGCGTTGCTCCATTTTGCAACCTTTCTTGCCACAGTTGCTGAGTGAATCACTGCAGTTGTTAAGTTAGTAACACGGTTGTTAAGGGAATCTGGCCTCCCCCATTGCTTCTGCTTCTCAGACTGTCACAAAAGCGGATCACAGGATCACTGCTACCGTCATACATGTGAATCAGTTGTCAAGCATCTGCATGTAAACCACCTGACCATGGGACGCTGCAACCGTCATAAATAAGAGTTAGTTGCCAAGGATCTGAATTTCGATCACATGACCATGGGGACGCTACAACGGTCGTAAGTGTGAATAATGGTCATAAGTCACTTTTTTCAGTGCTGCTGTTACTCCGAATGGTCACTAAACAAATAGTTTGTAAGTTGAAGTCTTGCCTGTATTTAACTTTTTCTACTATAGCGTGAAGCCAAACAAGAAACCAGCCAAACTCTTTCCTGGCCAAAAAGGAATTGGAGACTAAGCACATTGACTGACAACTACAAGCGCATTCCTGAATTATTTCTTGAGCAGTTTGCACAAGCAACAGAGTCAGAGGAAGTTCTTTGCCCAAAGAAGGAGCTTATCAATGTATAATTCAAAAGGACGACCAAGAATGGGGACCAGCGAAAAAAAAACCTTCCAGAGTCGATGTCCAACATCCCACCTCAAGTCCCAAATGCTGCAATCCTGACTCATCGCGTAGAAGAAAAAGATGCAAACTCCCGATTGTCTAAGCGGGAAGGTCCTCTTCTCAGGGTCTTAACACCCACAATTGCACAACCCTGAGAGCGGAGAGGAGAATGGAGGGAAGATGCATATTGATAGTTGTATACACTTGGATTTAAGAGGTGAGTAAGAGGGTTAAGCCAGAAGGTGGGAACAATGGGAGGTTTGGGAAGAAAACATAGTCTTTATTTTATTTAATTATAAAATGGATAGGCTGCCCACGTTCTCTCAAGGTAATTCTAGGAACATGAAGGCGAAAGGAACCCTAGGAGAAACACTACACCAAAGCGTTAGCAAGAACTCGTCTATTCCGTAAGCTAAGAGCTTTGCAAAAGAGGTTAACAACAAACAAAGTAAGATTAGAGATTTCCTTGTTTACAGCTGTCCATCAACCTTGGCACATGGTGACATAAATGTCACTGTGCCTCTTTTTAAAAAATAAATAAATCTGTAAACATGGAAGCTCCATTGCTCACGGTAATTTTCCGCCTGGGCCTATGGAGAGCCAACTAGATAAAGTGAAGTTACCCAGGGACGGTTACAAAATAAAAATGACTTTATGTGAGGACCGATAAAAGATTGTGGAAGAGAAGACTTTAAACTTATAAAACTTTTTTTTTTTTTTAATCTTCTCTTTGCTCAACCCAAAGAAACGTATTTTTTCTTATTTCCAAGAGTGGAACACAAAACGTGCTTTGAGAGTCGTAGGGAGGGCAGATAGAGACTCAATTAATATATGCAGCGATGTTTCTTCACTCTGATAACGTTAAGATGCGCGGACTTCAAATCCCAGAATTCCCCAGCCAGCATGGGAGTCGAAGTCCACGCATCTTAATGTTACCAAGGTCGAGAAACGCTGAAATGTTTGACTTAGGACCACAATGGAGCCCAAAATTGCTCTTGCTAGGTGAGAAAGTAAATAAGTGATTTGGGCCCCATTTTACGATCTTTCTTGCCTCTGTTGTTAAGCGAATCACTGCAGTTGATAAGTTAGTAACCCGGTTGCTAAGCAAATCTGGCTTCTCTGTTGACTTTGCTTGTCAGATGGTCGCAAAAGGGGATCGCATGAATCTTGGGATACAGCAACAATCATATCCATCTAGACCTAGACAACCTAGAACTACGCCACCTCCGGTCCGATCGAAGTGTAGTATATAAAATCATACATTGCGACGTCCTACCTGTCCATGAATACTTCAGCTTCAACCATAACAACACAAGAGCACACAATAGATACAAACTCAAGGTTAATCGCACCAAACTTGATTGCAGGAAATATGACTTCAGCCACAGAGCGGTCAATGTCTGGAATACTCTACCTGACTCTGGTTTCTTCCCCAAACCCCAAAAACTTTAACCTTAGACTGTCTACTATTGACCTCACCCCTTTCCTAAGAGGTCCGTAGGGGACGTGCATAAGCGCACCAACCTTCCCTGTCCTATTGTTTCTTTTATTTTCTTATTCGTATCCATTTCATTCGTATTCATAACTACGTTTATACTTATACCTGTTGTCTTATAATCGCTTGACAAAATAAAATAAGTAAAAATAAAAATAAATAAAATGTATGAACCACTTGCCAAGCATTTGGATTTTGATCACAGGACCATGGGGAAAGATGAAAAGATGATAACTGTGAAAAATGGCCATAAGCCCCTTTTTTCAATGCCTTTGAACAGTCACTAAACAAACCGCTGTAGGTCGAGAACTACCTGCTTCAACCAAACTTCACAAACCTCTTTACCTTAAACTGTGATACAAGTTCCCAAGAAAAGATTAGGCACTGATCATTGAAATTCAATTAAAATGTAGTTAACCTACCACCACAAACTCACTCCAGATTATGGCAGACGGCTCACATCCAGAAAGTTTAAATAAATAGAAAAAAAAAATAGAGGGTGTAAAACAAATTTTACTTCATTTTCGCTGGGCTGGAGCCCGAGTTTTATTTTAAATCAAAAGTGCTGACAATTTCCCCAGGTTTGAAAAAAAAAAAAAAAGGGGGGGGGGGGGGGGGGGGGAGGGAAGCGGAAAGAAAAAAGCCCCAAATATTAGCTCGGGTTCTCTGACTTTGTATGAACAATAAGACACCAGACTCCAAAACTCTCTTGTTTTTAAGAGTTTTAACTTTGCACACCGCCAAAGGAAATAACCTTTCTTTGCCAAATATTGATCTCTTTTAGAAAGGGGGGGAGGAAGTGTTTTCTATATCTAGAGGTTTAAAGTCACACGCGTACACGTATTTCACTTCCCAAGCGTTGTGACGTTCGAACCTGTATGAATTCATAGCATACCCATTGCAGGGATCCAGTTTTTTTTAAAAAAAGGGGGGGGGTTATCTCATTTAGGATCAGAGTCAATGTGCCCCATTTAGCAAACCCCACCCCCCAAAAAACACAATTGCACAGACCCCTCTCCCTTTATGCTCCCAATTTCACATCGGTTGTTAAAGAGAAACGTTTCTGGCAGTGGTCCAGCTCAGATTTTGGAGGTTCCCGATTGGGAGCAGTGTGGTTGAGTCTCTCACCCTACAATTTTTGCCAGTGTGTCACACGCACTTCCCCACAACCCCGTGTTTAATTTTTTTGGGGTGCGGGGGGGAGATTGTTTTAAAAAATTTGCTCCCAAGTTTTCTTACCGGAGACCGAAAAGATGCTGTCAGTTGTAGCAGGAACAGCAGCAGCCAAAGCGCAGGAGACATGGTGTGGCAGAGCCTTCGATCTCTCACGGAGGTTCCTGCAGTCCCCCCTCCCCAAAAAAAAGCAGGACGAAGGGGACACGGACTGGACACGGCCGAGTCGCCGCCTGCCGAGTTATAAAGCCCCCCACCGACCCCCCTCCCCAGAGCCCACCAGCACTTCCCCGCCTTTCCCAGGGCTGGTCACTGCGCTCTTCCCCAAGGTGTTCAAAGCACATGGGCCGGCAACAGCTGGAGGAGAAGCCACGCCTCCCTCCCCCCCTCGGGGAGGGGAGGGGTCCCACCCTCCCCCTCCCACCCCCTTCGGCCGGTCAGAGGCCGCGGGTGGGCCGGGGGGAAGCTGTCGCCCGGGGAAACCCAGGCGGCTTTGTGTGGGCAGAGGGTAGCTTTCATCGCTGGAGGCTTTTTTTTTTAAAAGAAGAAACAAGTCACTTATCTAAAACGGTAGGGGGGCGGGGCTGGACTAGAAGACCTCCGAGGCCCCGTCCAGCTCTATTCCGATTGAATTATTACATCAGAAATAATCTTGGCCTCCGGGAATTTTGCAAAGCTCCAACTCCGGAGGGCTTGAAGGAGCACAGGTTGTCCTTAGGGGACCAACCCCCACGACGGAGCCCCCCCGTTTTCGTGGCTTGAGGGAAACGCCGTTCATGTTTGTGGCTGAGCGAGTGTAACTGCATTGAGTGAGTTTTGTTCCGTTTTAGGACGGTCTCGCCACGGTTGGTGAGCGAATCAACCGGCAGTTGTCAAGTTACTAACAGAAGGTCACCCAAAAAAAGGGGAATCGTGCGGCCGTGGGGACGCTGCAAGGGTCGTAAGCGTGAAAAAACAGTCATAAGTGGCTTTTTCGGGGCCACGGTAATTCTGGGAGTTGGGAGTCCACCCGTCTAAAGTTACTAAAAGGTTGTGAGAAACGCTGTGGAGGGAACACCTTGTTCTGCAGGTCCACTTCTCTCCAAGAAGCCACAAGGGTGTTCGGATCTTCCTTCCTTGCCCAATCTCTCTTCTCAACACCCCCGAGCAGCCGCCTCTACTGCTCCCCACCACCGACACCATCTCTTACTCGTTGACTTTCGGTTGCACGCCAGGGAAGAGCAAACAGGGAGGACACACACACACACACACACACACGCACGCAGAGCAGCCCAGGTTGGGGCAGGGATATTTGTGAGAACAAAATGTGCTCCTGAGAGCCCCTTGGGTGACCGAGCATGGGTTAAGCTTTAACCATTGAATCCACAGCTCCTCCTGAAGTGACCCCCTAGAACGCCAGCTGATGACCCAAACCGTAGGCGTTCTGGATTCGAGCCTCGGAACGGGGCCACGTTGATTGAGCCAGGGGCGCAAAACCGAGCGTACGGCAGCTTGGGAAACGGGACACTGCTCTCTGCTGGACGGAAATCGCACCGGGATCGAATGGTGGCTGGAATTGGGCGCCGGTCTCATTGAAAGGAGGAATTGGGGTGATGTGAGAGTCTCCCAATATCTAAGGGGTTGCCGCAAAGAGGAGGGGGGGCAAGCGAGTCCCCAAAGCACCAGAAGGCAGGAATGGAATGGAATGGAATATGGAGAATAGAATGGAATCGAGTGGAATAGAATAGAATGTGGAGAATAGACTAGAGAATAGAATATAGACTAGACTAGACTAGACTAGAATGAATAAGGGATAGAATAGACTAGACTAGACTAGAATAAATAAGGAATAGAATAGAATAGAATAGAATAGAATAGAATAGAATAGAATAGAATAGAATAGAATAGAATAGAATAATGTAGAATAGAATAGGAAAGAATAGAATAGAATAGAAAATAGAATAGAATCGGAGTAGAGTAGAATAGCATAGAAGAATAGAAAATAGAATAGAATAGAATAGAATAGAATAGAATAGAATAGAATAGAATAGAATAGAATAGAATATAGAATAGAATATAGAATAGAATATAGAACAGAATATAGAATGTATAGAATAGAATAGAATGAATAATAGAATAGAATAGAGAATAGAATATAGAATAGAACAGAATAGAACAGGGGCTGGAAGGGACCTTGGAGGTCTTCTAGTCCAACCCCCTGCCTAGGCAGGAAACCCTCCGCCAGACAAATGGTCATCCAACATCTTCTTAAAATCTTCCAGTGTTCCCCTGACTGACAGGAGGAGGAGGGAGGGAGCGAAGCTCACCCAGTAGAAAAGCCACTTGGAACGAACAGAAATTTCCCAACAGTGAGAAGAATTAATCGGTGGAATGACTTGCCTCCAGAAAGGTGTGAGTGGCTCCATCGCTGGAGGCTTTTAAGAAGAGACTGGACAACTGTTTGCCTGAATTGATTTAGGATTTCCTTAAAAAGTGGGTTGTACTAGAACGCCGTGACTTCAAATGGTCACTGAAAGAATCGTTGTAACTTGTGGACTGCTGTAAAGAAATCAGTAACAGACCCACCTCGAAAACACCCATTTCAGTATATGGAACTCCGGCCCTGGTTGTAAAAAGGTATTCATAGCGCTGGGGGAAAAGGGGGGATTGGATACTTCAAATAATTCCTTGGTGGCCACTGTTATCCACAAAGAAGCACCGAGGATGCAGAGTTCCCCAAGTGGGGAAATATCTTGCATCTTTGGGGCTTCTTAAAAAAAAAACACCAGGCCTGCATCCAAATTCACAGACGTGGCTCCCATTCTCTCGGAGGACGGCGGATGAGGAAACACCAGGTCGCAAGGTCAGAAAAGGACGTGTTTTCAAAAGGTGACATGTAAAATTCAAACCAGGATGTTTAATGGACTTTTCCAGAATCCAACTGATAAGCCTCTTGTGGCTGGGCGAAAAGGCCTTTCCAGCCAGCCACACGGAGCGTGGAGCGAAATGTACTCGGGTTGTACGTGGAGACGCAGGGCCAACTTTCAAGGCTCTGCGGGAGCTGACCAGAGGTGGCAACTAAAGAGTTGAGCAAAAGGGGAGAGTTACGCGTGAAAAGTAGCGCATACCTTCACAGCCTGGAGTTGGTGACCCAGTTTGCGGTTTCTCTCCCAGTTCCTCTGGGCCGGTTCGCGTTAGGCTGGTCGGGGAAACTCACTTTGGGTGGGGAGGAACCCAGAGGAGGACAGTTAGAGCAACTTTAACAACGGTTCATTCCTGTCCCGTTACTAGTTTTAGGGATGACGACAGCCACTGCCACCAAGGTGAGAACTTCAGCACTTCAAGATCTTCCGCTCAAGAGATTTCTTCTCCGTAGTCCTCGTGCCAGCTGCCACTTCAGGCTTGTCTTTTGCTATCGCTCAGTGCCAGGCTGCCATGAACTCTTGGGGGGGGGGGGGGGGGGGGGAAGACTGCATGGGAGGAGGCAGGATAGAAGGAAAATGAAAAGCTGACCGTATCTCCCCCAGGACACGGTTTCAAGGTCGACTGGGTGGGGAACGGAATACAGCTGCGTATCAAAGCGACCGTTCTGAAAATATCTTCTTTGAATTTAACTGGACAGTGGTGTGTGTGTGTGTGTTTGTGTGTGCGAGCAAGGGGATGTACCTAAAGGGAGGAAAGTTAGACTTGGGAATGATGGCACACAATTTTCAGTTCTGGCTTTGCACGGCTGCCGTTTAGACTTGACGTCTAAGCGAACTACACCTTTGTAAACAAACGGAGTTAAGGATTGTCCTTTCTTAGAGGGTGTCAAGTTGAGGCAGCTCTGACATTAAGCCAGTCTTGGTTTTAGTCTTTAGTCCTCGGAAACTCGGCCTTTATCTGGATTTTGGCCAAGTGGGAAACTTCATCCAACCCAGAAGACCAGGAAGGTCCGTGGCCATAGTCAATCCGCTTCCAGATGCTCCATCCCCACCCTTTCCAGAGGCTTGTTACGGGGCTCGGTCAAGTCGACAGTCTCCCGGAGCAGACCGGAACCAGCGGCAGGCAGGGTGCTATTCTTGGGCTTGTAAACAAAATTGACGCTGCCCTCTCTTTGGAGGAGGTCTGCACGGACCTTCTGGGGACAGCTGTCCTCCGGCAAGAGTTGCGTGGAGCTGTCCGATACCAAGAAGAGGCCATAGGCGGCACCGTCAGAGACGCCATACTTCTCTGCGCAGGCGGCACAGACCAGCGCCGTGGTCATGTCGGGCGGAACGGAGACGATCTTCTGGTTGTTGAAGGGTTCGTGGAAGGAGACGTAGAGGGTGTGCTGAAAAGAAGGGAGAGACCCGGTGACCACGGAGGTTGGCGGAGATTGTCCATCCCAGCGATGGACCTCAAACCTACCAGGAAGCCATCAGGCCATGACCAGAGTTTACGGGTCAAATGCCACGAAGGGTGGAAAGAAAGAGAAGGAGAGCGGGAGATGGAAGGACCCTCTTCCCACTGGGGGCCATAGGGAACGTCTATCTGCAGGGGCACCACAGTGCTCAACTGCTTTCAAACTGGTTCAAGTTGGGACACCAAGCTATTGTCCCAGTTCAGGAAGAAGACCTCAAGCTACAACATTCGTTTAGTGACTGATCGAGGTTACAATGGCGCTGAAAAAAGTAACTTAGGACCAGTTTTCACACTTACAACCGTTGCAGCATCTCCAGGGTGACACGACTGAAATTCAGATGCTTTGCAATTGTCTCGTCTTTAGGACGGTCGTAGTATCCCAGGGTCAAGGATCCCCCTTTTGCGACCTGCTGACGAGCAAAGTCAATGGGGAAGCCAGATTCACTTTAATGACCGTGTGTCACTAACTGAAGAACTGCAGTGGTTCACCTCACAGCTGTTGCGAACGAAGTTGTAAAATGGGGCGAAATTCACTTAATGAACGTCGCCTTTAGCAACGGGGTTTTTTCAATCCTGGGAATTGAAGTCCACACCTCTTAAAACCTGCCCCAAGCTTGAGTAACACCGATCTAAACCACGGTTAGAATGACCCCAACCGAAGGACCTACTCCGCAGGAGACAAGGGTCAAAAGAGGATCTTTGGCTCCGCCCTTTCCGCTTGGAAAGTTCTCTGCCGCCCACGCTCACCTGCAAATTGCGGCGATGGTGGTGATGGATGGTACGCCGGCGATGCCACTGATGGATGGAGCGCTGGGCCTCCACGCTGATCTGCCTGGTGATGGTAAAAGCCGCTCGGAAGTTTTCAATGTGGTAGAGGGCCCCGAACCAGGTGGTGAGGTAGTAGCCCCCTAGAACGCAGGAGGAGGGGAAGGGAGGATGGGAACGTGGGAAACACCGGAAAGATTTCGGGGGGAGGGGAAAAAACCAGAGTGACAGTTAAGGTTTCTGAAGGACCTTTTTCAAGACCAAGTCAACCCCCAGAATCCAGTTGGGTCCCCTGAGTTTCTTGTCCTCCTCTCTCGTCTGTCAAGGCAACTACAGGGCAGCTGCAGTGCCCTTCACTGTGCCACGGGGCACCGTAAGTAACCCCAAGTCTTCTAGTACGGAAAGTACAATCTTTATTTCATTGCTCAATTTTTTACCCCGTTTTTATTATTTCAAATAACTGAAGGGGCAACGATTGAAGAGGGAATTACCCTCCTATTTTTCCCACAGCAACAACCCTGTGCGGTAGGTTTGGCTGAGAGGCTGAGAGACCGGCCCAAAGTCGTCCTCCCAGTTTTCATGCCTAAGACAGGACTAGAACTCACCGTCTCCTGGGGATAGGGCCAAAGTCACCCAGCTGGCTTTCATGCCTTAGATGGGACTAGAACTCCCCTGTCTTCTGATGATCAGCCCGGCCAATTTTCAGTTTAAGGCAGGACTAGAACTCACCGTCTCCTGGTGATTGGCCCAAAGTCACCCAGCTGGCTGTCATGTCCAGGGCAGGACTAGAACTCACCACCATCTCCTGGCGATTTACCGGGACTTTCATGCCACATTTAGTGTTAGCAAAGAACTTAACACTGATCTCCTAACGGCTGGTGGAAGAAAACTCTTTCTTGGAAAGAGATCTGGCTTGAACCCCGAAAACCACGCTACCTTCTCCCTGAAGCTGATTGGGATCCATCAATTCCATCATGTACTCCACGTCCAACTGTACGGACACCACATCACAGCGCACCAGCATGTAGATAAGAACCGGCAGGAAGTCATCGGCACCAAACGGCACTTTGAAAAATAGGTGAGGGGGGAAGACATATTATGGGGAGGGACAGCAGACGTTTGAAGCGGCTCGGGGACGAAGGGAGGGGGCCCAGGCCACTTGGCAATATATACGTATATTTATTTAATTCGCTCAACGCCTGTGGCACGTGGCAAAAAAGCTCACTCAGCAACAGAAATCCTGGGCCCAATTGGGGCTGTAAGTCGAGGACTACCAATACTGTAACCTTCCCCTATCTCACTCACACACACCCCGGCAGAAATGCCTTCCATGGTCCCAGAGATCGAAATAGTCGAATTGAAACGTAACCCAGCCAGAGGCCTCCTACCTGCCTTCTCGCGGTGGAGGTTCATGGCCTCGTAGAGCATCTTGCAGACCTTCAGCATGTGGGCCTCCTTCTTCTTGGGCGAGTATGCCTGGTGCAGGAGGCTCAGCTTGGCCTGGATACGCTCCAGGCAAGGCCCGTCGGGCACCCCGGCTGCCACTCCCAGCTCCTCCAAGCTTTGCTGGCTCAAAGTCAGCTGATTTTCACGCAAACGGTTCAGAGACCCATCCTCGGTGTGGAAGCCCAGCAACTGAGCGTAAATCGTATCCCTCAGCGGCTTCAGGATGCATTTGCAAAGGGCGTCTTCCACCACGGAACCTGGCCCACGAGAAGAAGAACCGAGTTGGAAGGGACCTTGGAGTCGAAACCCCGTAACCTTTCGGACAAATGCTTCTCCAGTCTCTTCTTGAACACCTCCAGGGTGTTCAAATTCTGGGGGCAACCGTGTTTCAAAATTATGACCGTTGGCTGAAAAACCGTTTCTAGCCCTGGGCTGTCAGGCTCCTGAACGGAAAATAACTTCATGTCAACATAGTAGGATAGACTTGCAGGGCCGGTCGGCGTTGTGCAACAAGGTCACATAGTGTAATAAGATTGGGACTGGGCTAAGGACTCCTGTCCTCACTGTGAGTTGTGTTGGGGTGTGTGTGTGTGTGTGCATGAAGGGAGGCTCAGCCAACCTCACTGTACACATGTTGTACTCTGACAATAACGGTAATAATAATCAGCAAGTCGTTCCACTGAATAATTGTTCTAACTGTCAGGAAATTCCTCCTTAGTTCTAAGTTGCTTCTCTCCTTGAGGAGTTTCCATCTGTTGCTTCTTGTCCTGAGTTCAGGTGCTTTGGAGAATAGCTTGACTCCCTCTTCTTTGGGGCAGCCCCTGAGATACTGGAAGACTGCAGTCAAGCCACCCCCCTCCCAGTCCTTTCACTCATTAAACTAGACATACCCAATCCCTGCAACCATTCTTTGTGTGTGTTTTAACTGCCAGTACCCCAAGGTCAAGATAATGAGCTTAGAGCCAGGATCCTTTGGTCTTAGGGACTAGCATCTTAAGCAATAGCTATAAGCCAGCTCTCATCCATTTAGCTCCTGTTGTCCAAGATGGAGCAACCTTTTGGCTTACCAAGGTAAGCAGTTAACATCTCAGGAAGGTTGAGAGCAACGCAGTGGATAGGGCCACATCGCATGGGTGGATAGGAGTGAAGTTTCCTATGTTTTGAGCAAGTTGTCTTGCTTTTCCAGTGATGGTATGCTGATTATATGTTCTTCATTGCCATTCTAACACACAGGTTACCCAGCCCTACCTTGGTGTAACGTAGTCCAATATTTCGCCATCTTGTCGACTTTTAAGACGGGCGGACCGCAATTCCCAGAATTCCCCAGCCAGCTGGCTGGGGAATTCTGGGAGTTGCAGTCCACCCCTCTTTAAAATCGCCAAAGTTGAGGAATCCAGTGGAGAGCGTTAATTCCATTTGCAAATCACAGATTTGAGCTTGGGGCCACGTGGGAATCCAACCCACTGGTGTGTCTCTAAGACATTACTTATCAAACCAATCCTGGCTTCTGCAGAGATGTGCCACCATCCATCAACCTGACTCTTCTGAGCTGCAAAGGCCAAGGACTGAACCTATACCCTCCTTCGTGCCAATCCTGGGTTTAAGGGCTGCCGAGTTAAGAAAGCTTCCCACCTTTGACCAGCTGCTTTGGAGACTTACCAGAAGATAAACCTGTTTGGGTAAACATCCCCCTGAAAACCTTGTGGGAAACTAAACACAGGAAACCACCCAGGATTATCTGTCCTTAGAAAAAGATCTTAAGGCTGGAATTTAATTTTCAGCCAAAGCCTCTTCCAAATTTTGCACAAAAGCCTCAGAGGCGCAGGTGAGCTCAAAAGCTTTCTTTTTTAAAAAAATTGCCTGTTTAAGGTTAGCTCTCTTGGGATCGTGGTGCCCTCTAAGATCTTGGTGAACTCCTTGCAGACAATTCGTGACCCAACTAGGTAACGTCATCAGTGCTAGAAGGGCTTGCTGTCTATTTCTCTTCAACTGGCTTGCTCTGTCAGTGTTGGTGAGATCTTGGTGGCTCCTTGACTGAGCTGTTGTTTACTCTTTGACGGGTTGTCTTCGGGCACTGAAGATGTTCCCTTGTTGGGTCATGAAATGTCTGCAAGAATTTCAACCCTGAACTACAAATCTTCTCTTCAGTGCTAGAAGGGAATGGTCAGCTGTGGGTCCTTGGGACGCTCTGTTTCCTTGCAAATGTTTCATGACCCAGCTAGGTAACACCATCAGTGCTAATAAGAGAGTGAGGGTTGGCCTTTTTTCTTTTTTTTTAAACAAACCCCACTCCCTTCTATCACATAGATGTTCCCTAGTTGGGTCATGAAACACCTCCGAGCCCAGAGAGCAGCAGGGGCCCCTCATTTCAAACCCTGAGCTACAAATACTCTCTCCTTTATTGGTTTCTGGGGTTTTTTTTCCCCCCTCCATCCCCGTCGTATCCACCGCCCCAAACCTCTCCTTCAACTGTCAAAAGCCACACACGGCGCTGCCTGCATCGCAAACCTGACCACAGATCAGGTTGATTTCCTAAGCTGTCAGCAGACATTGTCGTAAACCTGCCCAGGGCCCAGAGTGGAAACCGCAGAAATGTTTTCAGTTCTTTCGGAGGTAAGGCAACGAGATATTTGTGATCACTTTTCTGGGAAAACAAGACTTGAGGGGGGGTGGGCTCCCTGGGAGTCGTTGCAGACAGAGGAGCTGCTAGAGAAACTCTGCCCGACCCAGAGAAGAAGGGTTATTTTTAGCTCAGGGTTGAACCCCTGTAGAACAGGGTTGGTCGGTCGAGCACGGAGGTTGTTGCTTCGTTTAGAAATGACACACCTGCAAGGAAATCACCAAGCTCAGAGGGGCACCACGGATACAACCGTCCTTCTCCTCCCTCCTCTCTCCCCATTCCCTGCTAGCACGGAGGATGCTCCCTAGTTGGGTCATGAAATGTCTGCCATGAGTTCACCGAGCTCAGAGGGCCCCAAGGACCCCGCAGTCCTCTTCCTCCTCCTCTGTCCCCGTTCCCTCCTAGCATGGATGATGTTCCCTAGTTGGGTCATGAAATGTATGCAAGAAAAGAACCACGCTCAGAGGGCCCCAAGGACTCCACAGTACCACCTCCTCCTCCTCCTCCTCCTCTCTAGACCCAACACCCTTCTAGCACTGATGTTGTTGCCTAGTTGGGTGATGAAATGTCTGCAAGAAAACAACCAAGCTCAGAGAGCACCAAGGACCCCACAGTACCTCCTCCTCCTCCTTCTCTCTGCAAGCCCCCCTCTTCTAGAACGGACAATGTTACCTAGCTGGGTAACGAAACGTCTGCAAGAAAACCAGCTCAGGGAGCCACAGTCCTCCTCCTTCTCCTCCACTCTGCTAACCCCTTCTAGCGACCGAAGAGCATATTTGCAGCTCAGAGTCCTTGGGGCTCACGGGGCAGAAATAGCCCAATCCTGCCAGCTCCTACTGTGCAGCCATCCCCACTACCCAAAACAGATCGTTCTTTTAGGACTCCCCTTCCCCAAATCCCTCAGAAGACCCCCCCCCCACCCGCCTTCCCTACCGAGATCCGGTTCTTCGGCGTCAACATATTCGCAGTAGATGGCGGCGCGCAGCTCTGAACTTTCGACCAGGTAGCCCTTCAGGTTGGTGATCATGTGCCGTATCTCCTGCAGCAGCTCGGTGCTGGTGGGGTGCCGGGACCGGGCTCCTTGCTGGATGTGCTCCACAAAGTTCTGCACCAGGCCTCCCACGTCCGAGCTGGGATCCTGGACCAGCTCTTGCACCCGCTTGGCCACCCGGCGTTCGAGCGAGAGGAAGCCGGTCAGGGCGCTGCTCATGGCCGAGAGACGATGGAACACTTTGTGGGTGAAGGTGACGGAGGAGGGGCGCCGTCTCTTCTGTGGGGAGGGGGTGGCAGGAGGGAGACCCTCGCCCTCGTCCTCCATGCTGCTGATGGAGAGCGAGTCCAATTCCGGGATGAGAGGCAGCAACAGGGAGTCGTTCAGCAACAAGGATTCGGACCGGGCCTTTTTCAAGCAGGGGAAAGCGTCGGCCGAGATCCCTTCCACCCAGGAAACACGGTGGGGAGAGCGGGTCTCCTTTCGGGATGCCGTGGGGGACCAGGACGGCCGGGCCTCGGTTTCCGGACTCTTGCAGGATGGCCTGCGAGGAAGGAAATCCCCTTGCGCAGAGGCTGAGCAGGACGGAGGGTCTGCGGGGAAGAAAACGGCAAGAAAGGAGCCGGGGCGGGGGGGGTACATATTAGCCAATCTGTGTTATTCTGTCTACCATCTAGGGTGCCAACTGGTCATATTACACAGAAGTTTCTACTAAGAGAAGAGAATCTTTGTAGCTTGGGGTTGAACTGGTGTTTCATGAGCTGGGTTTTTTTTTTCTTGCAGACGTTTCATGATCCAGCTAGGTAACATCATCAGTCCTAGTAGGGAGCAGGTTTGCAGAGTACAGGAAGGAGGAGGAGGAGGAGGAGGAGGAGGAGGAGGAGGAGGAGGAGG